TTGGTCTTGCAAAATTGTACCATGCAATCTCCAGCATCATTTCTATCACCAATGCCATGTTTTCCAACTACCGATCCTTCTTCTTTGTTTCCAGCTTTTGCATTGCAATCACCAGTGATTCTCAGTGCATCTCGATTGCATGTTTGATCAATTTCAGACTGAGGAAGTTGGTAACAATCTTCAATTTCTCCGTCTTGAGCATTAGTGTTTGGTGCATAAATTTGAATAATAGTCGTATGAACTGGTCTTCCTTGTAGGCATGTGGATATTATCCTATCACTGACTTGTACTTCAGGATAGACCTTGAAATGTTCTTTTTGACAATGAACATGATGCCATTCCTCTTCAATGTGTCATTCCCAGCACAGTAGACCATATGATTGTCTGATTCAAAATGGCCAGTACCAGTCCATTTCAGCTCACTAATGCTTAGGATATTGATGTTTATGCATTCCATTTCATTTTTGATGGCTTCCAATTTTCCTAGATTCATACTTCTTACAGTCCATGTTCTGATTGTTAATGGATGTTTGCAGCTGTTTCTTCTCATTTTGAGTCGAGCCACATCAGCAAATGAAGGTCTTGAAAGCTTTATTCCCTCCACATCATTAAGCTGGATCCTACTTTGAGGAGACAGCTCTTCCCCAGTCATATTTTGAGTGCCTTCCAACTTGAGAGGTTCTTCCTATGGCACCATATCAGACAGTGTTCTGCTGCTATTCATAACGTTTTCACTGGCCAACTTTTTCCAAAGTAGACCACCAGGTCCTTCTTCCTAGTCTGTCTTAGTCTGGAAGCTCAGCTGAAACCTGTCCACCATGGGTGACCCCGATGTTATATGAAATACCAGTGACATAGCTTCTGGCATCACAGTAACACACAAGCCACCACAGTATGACAAACTGACAGATGAGTGGTGGGAAGTGAGATTAGCCTCTCATTTTTAATTGTTCTCCTTCCTTCCTCCCAAAGTAATGATGCCCCTAGCATCCCTGGTCAAAGTGTCCCTTCCCTTTCCTCTGGTACAAGTCAGGGTCTTAATCCGTGGGTAATAGCAGAAGCATAAAGGCAAACTAGGAAGATAATTAAGAATGATATATGAGTGATAATGGAGAATGATATATAATGAAGACAATAAAATATGTGCCAAGTTACCACAGGTAGATCAATCTTTCATTTAAAGAACATTTCAAGATCTATCCTGAAGTATAACACTGTCAGTGATAAAGTAATATTCATCTGCCTACAAGGAAGACCAGTTAATACAACTATTATTCAAATTTTGCACCAACCACTAAGGCCAAAGATGAAGGAATTGAAGATTTTTACCCACTTCTGCAGTCTGAAATTGATTGAACATGTGATCAGGATGCATCGGTAATCACTGGTGTTTGGAATGCAGAAGTTGGAAACAAAGAAGGATTGGTAGTTGGAAAATAAGGCCTTGGTGATAGAAACGATGCCAGAGATCACATGATACAATTTTGAAAGACCAACAACTTTTTCATTGCAAATACCTTTTTTCAACAACATAAATGCAACTATACACATGGCCCTCGCCAGATGGAATACACAGAAATTAAATTGACTACATCTGTGGAAAGAGAAGATGGAAAATCTCAATATCATCAGTCAGAGAAAAGGCCAGGGGCCAACTGTGGAACAGACCATTAATTGCTTCCATACAAGTTCAAGTTGAAGCTGAAGATTATAACAAGTTCATGAGAGCCAAAGTATGACCTTGAGTATATCCCCCCTGAATTTAGAGCCCATCTCAAGTATAGATTTGACTCATTGAACACTAATGACCAAAGACCAGAAGAGTTGTGGAATGACATCAAGGACATCATACATGAAGAAAGCAAGAGGTCATTAAAAAGACAAGACAGAAAGAAAAGACAAAATAGATGTCAGAAGAGACTCTGAAAGTTACTCTTGAATGTTGAGTAGCTAAAGAAAATGGAAGAATTGAAGAAGTAAAAGAGCTGAACAGATTGCCAAAGGTGGCTCGAGAAGACAAACTAAACTATTATCATTACATGTGCAAAGACCTGGAGTTAGAAAATTAAAAGTGAAGAACATGCTTGGCATTTCTCAAGCGAAAGAACAGAAGAAAAAATTCAAGCCTCTAATTGCAATATTGAAGGATTCTATAGGGAAAACATTAAAATGACACAGGAAGCATCAAAAGAAGATGGAAGGAATACACAGTCACTATACTAAAAACAATTGGTCAGTGTTCAACCATTTCAGGAGTTAGCGTATGATCAAGAACCTATGGTACTGAAGGAAGAAGTCCAAGCTGTACTGAAGGCATTGACGAGAAACAAGGCTCCAGGAATTGACTGAATACCAACTGAGAAGTTTCAACGAACAGATGCAGCACTGGAAGTGCTCACCAGTCTATGCCAAGAAATTTGGAAGACAGCTACCTGGCCAACCAACTGGAGGAGATCCATATTTATGCATAGTCCAAAGAAAGTAATGCATTCGAATGTGGAAATATCATTACTATCACAAGCAAGTAAAATTTTGCTGAAGATCATTCAAAAGTGGCTGCAGCAGTACATTGACAGGGAAATGCCAGAAATTCAAGCTGGATTCAGAAGAGGACATAGAACAAGGGATATCATTGCTGATGTCAGATGGATCCTGGCTGAAAGCAGAGAATACCAGAAAGATGTTTACCTGTGTTTTATTGGCAATGCAAAGGCATTTGACTATGTGGATCATAACAAATTATGAATAGCATTGCAAAGAATAGGAATTTCAGAACACTTAATTGTGCTCGTGAAGATCCTCTACATAGATAAAGAGGCAGTCATTCGAACAGAACAAGGGCGTACTGCATGGTTTAAAGTTAGGAAAGGTGTGTATAAGGATTGTATCCTTTTACTGTACCTATTCAATCTGTATGCTGAGCAAATAATCCAAGAAGCTGGACTATATGAAGAAGAATGGGGCATAAGGATTGGAGGAAGACTCATTAACAACCTGCGTTGTGCAGATGATGCAACCTTTCTTGCTGAAAGCGAAGAGGACTTGAAGCACTTATTTATGACGATCAAAGACTACAGACTTCCATATGGATTACACCTGAACATAAAGAAAGCAAAAATCCTTACAACTGGACTAATAAGCAACATCATGATAAATGGAGAAAAGATTGAAGTTGTCAAGGATTTCATTTTACTTGGATCCACAATCAACACCCGTGGAAGCAGCAGTCAAGTAATCAAAAGACGCATTGCATTGGGCAAATCTGCTGCAAAAGACCTCTTTATAAGTGTTAAAAAGCAAAGATATCTCCTTGAAGACTAAGGTGCCACTGACCCAAGCCAAGGTGTTTTCAATTGCCTCATATGCATGTGAAAGCTGGACAATAAATAAGGAAGCCCAAAGAAGAATTGATGCCTTTGAATTATGGTGTTGGCGAAGAATATTGACTATACCATGGACTGCCAAAAGAACGAACAAACCTGTTTTGGAGGAACTACAGCTAGAATGCTCCTTAAAAGCAAGGATGGCAAGACTTCATCTCACATACTCTGGACATGTTATCAGGAAGGATCAATCCCTGGAGGACATCATGCTTGGTAGAGCAGAGGGTCAGTGAAAAAGAGGAAAACCCTCAACCAGATGGATTCAAGCCTGTGGTTGCAATAGTGAAGGATTCTACGGGGAAAACATTAAAATGATGCAGGAAGCATCAAAAGAAGATGGAAGGAATACACAAAGTCACTATACCAAAAAGAATTGGTCAACGTTCAACCATTTCAGGCAGTAGCATATGGTCAAGAACCGATGGTACTGAAGTAAGAAGTCCAAGCTGTACTGAAGGCTTTGGCAAAAAACAAGGCTTTCTAGTATTCTCTGCTTTCAGCCAGTGACTGCAGCAATGGGCTCAAGCATAACAACGATTGTGAGGATGGCAAAGGACTGGACGGTGTTCATTGTGTTGTACATAGGGTCCCTATGAGTCAGAACTGATTCGAGGGCACCTAACAACAACAACAACAACATTGAACATTTATTACAAGCTAAACACTCTTTTAAGCACTTCAAAGAAGTATGCAAAACACTATTGGAAAGTTAATGGAAGTATCTATTCTTGAGGGGCTTGACATCTATTTGTATATATATTTACACATACATACACATATTGTTCAAGAAAGTAATGTGCATAAGTTTGACAATTGGTCTTTCAAGATAATTCTCTTTTTTCCAAGTTTGTTTCCCACTTAAAAATATTACATTCACAAGTTTATAAAAACTATATTATTCCTCAATTGATTAGTCTTGTACGTAACTCCATCAGAGGGAATTTTTACATTAGTGCATAACAGATAAAATCAGGTATACATTTTATTTTTAGAGAACAGTACAAAATTTCTTTCTTAATGCTAGAAGCCATTGATATTATGCCCTTTAGAAAGTGAAAACTCAGACTGAACATAAACTATATAAATATCATAAATACAGTTTTTCTTTAATTTGAACCTTCCCTATTTTTGTGATGGTTGTGATTTTGTGTATCAGTAAATGGCATCTCTCATATTTATTTCCAGTTCTACATCGCTAGTAAACATTTACTTCACTACTTTTGTGGAAGCAAATATTTTTCTATTCATCTGTTATTGGACTCTTATCTTTCCTTCTAAAATATATTAATAATGGAGGTTTATTTGAATGGGATGTTTTTGAACTATCTCTAGAGAATCATGGGACCTTTTACTAGTAATATGAATTCACATGGTCTTTCATACTCATGTTAACATATACATTTAAAAGAGCCTGAAAACTTATAAAGAAAATATAATTATTTGATGGTAGAAAAAGATGAGCTGTAGGTTTCTACCATATACTGTTTATACTAAAATGTAATTTGTTTATGAGTGATTGGGGCCAAGAATTAACAATATTTCCACCTCCTCTTTAGATTATTTGCAAACCTGCTTGTGTGACAGTTATACTTAATATTTTGTCTTTTTTTTCCTTAGCATTGGTGCCTTGATTGGACTGGGAATTGCTGCCCTTGTTTTACTTGCCTTTGTCATCAGCATCTGCGTCCTTTGCTATTTATTTCTGTATACAAAGCCTCAAAGATTAGACACTGGACTTAAACTTCAACACCTAGAAGCTTCTTCCATTCAAGAAGGTAATCAGTATCTATTGTCTGTAACCAATTATTTGTACTTTATCCAAAAGAATAATCTGTACCGTGGTAGCAGATCATACTGTTAACAATGAATGCTTTTTTAAAATTCTAGTATGTGTCTTTGTAAAAATTCACACTGAATCAGGCCTTAATGATGGAATGCCTTAGAGAAATTGTGCCCAAGGAACAATATTAGCATGATGTAAATGTTCTTAGGAAAAATAAAACACTGGTCCCACAAATCCACCTTAATCTCTTTATATCTCTTTCAGTTATAAAAGTTTTGTCCTCTTGGAATTTTTAAAGTTTGCTTTTGGATGAAGCCGGAGAAGTAAAATAGAGGGACAAAAGATCTGACAATTCTCAGTGTTGCACTGCTCTCGACTGCTTAGTCATTGGTCAGTTAAGCATTTACCTGTGTGCCTACTGTGTGCAGAATTCTGTGGAGGCATATAAAATAATTCAGAGGCATATGAAAGAAATAGGAAAATAAATATTGTTGTTGTTGTTAGATGCTGTCAGTTCAGTTCCAACTCATAGTGACCCTGTGTACAACAGAACAAAACACTGCCCAGTCCTGCGCCATCCTCACAATTGTTGTTATGCTTGAGCCCATTGTTGCAGCCACTGTGTCAGTCCATCTCATTGACGGTCTTCCTCTTTTTCTTTGACCCTCTACTTTACCAAGCATGAAGTCCTTCTCCAGGGACTGATCCAGGGAAATAAATACAAGACAGTTTTTATTCTTGACAAGATTACAAGCTAGTTAAAATATAGGGTGTGTGTATGTGCATGTGTGTGTGTAGTGTGACTGTTAAAACAAAAATTTTAGGTATAGTTTGTGGAACTGGGTCTCATGATTATCTCAGTTGTAAAGTGCTATACAAATGCTAATTGTTAACATTATCAAACTCAATAAAAAATATTGTTAAAATGTTAGTGAATGTAAATTTCTATTAAGGAGCCTTGGTGGCACAGTAGTTAAGCCCTGGGCTGCTAATCAAAAGGTCGGCGGAATTGATTCCATGGCACACTACAACAGCAACAACATCAACAACAAATTTCTAGTAGTGTATTAAAAAAGCAGCAGTCATGAATTTTAGTTTGAGAGACACATATAATCAGAATAATACCCAGGTACTCACCTGCTTCTCATCTAAAAAGAAAATTAAAACTTTTATTTTAAAAAATTGAGAAAAGTCCCTGCTGATTATACTATGTTAGCTAGATCTTAAGCTTGTATTTATGGAGAATATGCTCTGAGACCATACCAAATACGCTGCTACTGCGTGATTGCATTAGCTCTAGTTTCCTTCTGTGGAGAGGAGACCTCTCTCAGAGGTTATCCTTTATTACAGAGCAAGGAGCCAAGGTCCCTTTGGAGTTCTCTTCCTGAAGCCATGTTTGGAGACCGCATGGCCGAATTGACAGGTTGTTAACTAAATTTTGTCCAAATTACTTAGACCCAGTTTCTCCACAGGCAAAGTGAAGCAGTGAATTAGTGATTATCAAGTAATCACATCATAAAATTAATTTTTGTCTCGGTTGCTTAGAAAATTTAAAGTAGCAGTTCTTAAAATTTACTGCACGTAAGAATCACCTAGGGAGCTTGTTAAAAACACAAATTCCAGAATCAGACTCTCTGGGGGATGCAGAGGGGAATATACATTTTAAACAAGCAGCTCATCTTCCTGCTTCTGCCCTTGCTACCTTGCTGTCTGCTCTCCACAGAACAGCCATAGAGAGCCTATTAAAACCTGTCAGGTCGTGTCACCCTTCTGCTCAAAACCTTGATGGCTTCCCATCTCTCTCAATGAGTCTCTCTCGATGAAAAAGACGGTCCTTACTGTGACCTACGAGGACCTTTGGGGTCTGCCCTCTCCTGTATTTCTCTCCTCATCTCCTCATGCCTAGCCTCACTGGCCTTTTTGCTATTCCTTGAAACACCTGCCTCAGGGCCTTGGCACATGCTGTCACCACTATTTAGAATGCTCTTCCCTCAGATATCTGCATGATTTGCACCTTCATATCCTTTAAATCTTTACTCAATAGTCACCTTCCCAGGGAATCTTTCCCTGGTCACCCTATTTGGATTTTTAACTCCTCTTCAACATTTCATACCTCTTTCCTGCTTTACTTTGCTCCTGAGCATTTACCACTAACATAGTATGTTTTACTTATCTATAGTCTAAATTTCCTCCATCTCAGCTAGAAAGTAAGTTCCATGAAAGTAGGAATTTTTGTCTCGTTTGTTCACTACTGTATCTTCAGTGCCTAGAACACAGTGAATATTTGTTGAATGAATTGAGTGGAGCAGGACTGCATCTCTATTGTAGGTGATCAAAAGAGCACATTTTGAGAAATACCTACCTAAACTATCATCACCATAAAAATCAAGTAGTTATTGAGAGCCTCCTCTATACAATGCACTGTGCTATATAAAAAATGGATTTTTCCTAATTTATTTCGGAGGCCACTTCAAAATTTTATTTCGTGTTTGTTCTGAGAACCCAACAACAGAACTCACGTCCTGTAAGCTTAATTGCTATTTAGCTAGGGAGACTCATTGTCTTAGTTACCTAGTGCTGCTGTAACATATATACCACAAGTGGGTGGCTTTAAAGAACAGAAATTTATTTTCTCACAGTTCTGGAGGCTGAATGTCCAAATCAGGGTCTCGGCCATGCAGATTCCTTCTGTGAGCCTCTCTCCTAGTTTCTGGTGTCTGCCAGTGATACTTGGGGTTCCTGTGCTTGTAGACCATCCTCACACGTTGTCTGTCTTCCCCTGTGTGTGTGTGTCTATTCTGGCCTTTTTTATAATTCAGTCGTGATTAGATTTAGAACCCACCTACTTGAGTATGATCTAATTAACAGAACAAAGAAAACCCTATTTACAAACAGGATTACTTCCAGCAGTATAACCAAACCCATTGCCATCGAGACGATTTTAGCTCATAGCGACCCTATAGGACCAAGTAGAACTGCCCTATACAGTTTCCAAGGCTATAATCTTTACTGAAGCAGACTGCCGCATCTTTTTCCCACAGAGCAGCTGGTGGGTTCGAACCACCAACCTTTTGGTTAGCAGCGGAACACTTAACCACTGCTCCACCAGGGTTCCTTTCGAGAAGAGTAGGGGTTAGAATTTCAGCACATACTTGGTGGTGGTGGTGGGTGGGTGGGGCACAATTAATCCATAACATTCTTTAATGCACTTCCTATATACTTAGATATATAGTAAGTGCAGAAGGAGCCCTGGTGGCACAGTGGTTAAGAGCTCAGCTGCTTACCAAAAGGTTGGCAGTTTGAATCCACCAGCTGCTCCTTGGAAACCCTATAGGGCAGCTCTATGTCTTGTAGGGTCACTATGAGTCAGAATTGACTCAGTGGCAATGCGTTTGTTTGTTTTTGGTTTATATAGTTAGATGAGGCTACTTTCTTGCAAGGAAATATTCCCACTCTGCCCCTATCAAAAACATTATTACGTCAGCAGATTAATTTAATACACGTTTCATGAGTGCTTACTTTTGGTAAGGCAGGATTTAATATGATTACTGCCTCCCTGATGCTTTCAAATGATGTGATTTTGGTCCCTTGGAATAGGAAGAGAAAATGGTTTATATTTAAGAAGGACCCTTTGAAGTGATAATTAAACATTGCTATACCTGTTGTTAAATATGCATGTTGCATTCCAATGATTTTTCCACCTAGCAATAGATACCAATGTACTATCTATTAAGAAAATAGGTCTGGAGCTGTATTCTGTTTAAGGAATGTTTTAAAGGTGAGGAACATAATAAAATGTTTGCATAAAAAATCAAGCAAGCAAACACTACATCAGAGGAAAATCGGTGTCACCAGTTACCACACTGTTCTTTCAAAACTATCTGTTCTTAAGACTCAAACTCCCATTATTTTAAAGTAATTGTAATAATTGAAACTGTTTTCATTACAGGCAGTTGGAATGACCTAAAGGGAAACATGTTTTTGTGCACATTTTGAAACTGACTTAGGATACTGTACTTTTTTTTTCTATAAATGAAAATAAGTCTAAAATAGCCTAAGCTTAATTAGACTATTTTGCCAATGATTTTTCTTTAGTGTGTCTTTATTCTGCTGGGTTTCATTCTTTTTAATGTATACAATTTAAGGCTTTAGACAGGTTTACATCGATCTTGAAAAAGCAGGTCTCTAATAGTGATTGTAGAGTGTAATTGGGCTACCTCCATGGCTCACTTTGTACAGAGACTATTACTAAGCATTTTGGCCTTTAAATTGTGTCCCATACCCATTTTATTCCCTTTTAACTTTTGTGTTTTGGGCTATGCAAGTTTCAGATGTCAACGTTTAAAAAAATACTATGGTTTGGAAATTGTACGTATAGGATACACAGATCCCTAGAGACTGATACCAAGCAGGAGAGGAATGTGGAAAGGGCCTTTTTCTGAGTAGACACTCCAAGCATGGGGGCTCGTTTCATAGGACACAGAAGAATTAATGGCTCATAGAGGAGCCATTAAAAGGGTGAATATATTAGATCTCTGCTTCTCAAACTTTTCCACTGGAAAATCCTTAAAGGTAGATAAAAAAGGAACTTTTACCCCCAGGGTTCTCAGTCTTAAGTCTTATGAACATTAAGTTATTTAAAGTTTCCCACTTTATTTTTAGTTTTCGATTTGATTTCATAATATAGTGGTTTGTTTTACTCTAATAAAAACATATTCTCCCTTCCATATCTGAAGAAAATGGATGCTCCAGGAAGATAAGGGATGTTCATCCTGTGGCTTTGAATTTCCACGGATACAATGGGATTGTAGGGAGTGGTGGAGGAGTGAGGAGAGGGATACTTAGAAGCAGGGTCTTCTGTTAAAAACAGAAGGGCTGTTTGGCAAAATATATTAATATAGTTGTATAGGAAAAATAGAGCATTATAAGCCTGTATTTGGTGTTTTCTTTTGTGAAAGCAGACAATATAAATGAAAAAAGGGCAAGTAATTG